CACCCAAAGCCCACACTTTAAGCAAGCCTTAAAACATCAAGGCTTCCAGGAGTCACCCCTTTCTAACACATCCTCCCTTTGAATGGTTCGGTTTCGGCTTCGGATTTCAAGCAGGTCTAGGGTTAATTAAGTTTGTTTGTTTGGCTTTGCCGCTCAAGCTGTGAGACGCCTCGCTTTTGTTTGTTCTTGCGGCAAAGCCCTCGGGCCTTCGGGTCCAACCCATGAGCGGGCGATGGTTGGTATGGGCTATGGGGTTGTGGACAGGACCCTCTGCACTAGGCCCACAAACCGTTCTGCCCCTGTAGACTTGTTTAGCGAGCTTTGTATTGTTGGGGCTCCCCGCATGCCGATGACGAAGTCAGTTGTATACGTGAGGAGAGCTGACGAATCCGTCAGTTGCAGAGCAATGTCAATGAGAAGCCGCTAGATCGGCCCACTTTGGGTGGGATGGTTCTCGGGGTCCTCTTTGGGTCTCTGGTTTCTCTCTAGCCTTGCCTGCCTTGTGATGCGGGAGTAAGAGGTCGAAACCGTTAAACCCCAAGCGCCAAACCCAAGAGACCGCGATGGGCTGAGGATTCTGCTTTGGAAACAGCTCTGGATGGACTTCGGAAGAAGGGTGTTTCTCGGGGTGGTCCTGCCGCGGCGACTTGGCGACCAAAAGACTGTATCCACAGGTACAGGGGATTTGGGGTACAGGTGTTGTAAAGTCCAAAAAATAAGTAGCATCACCCCAAATGCTTACTGCATATATCACTTGCTGATGATCCAAAAACGGCTGCCATTTTCCACGCGGAGCCTCCCGGAGCCTACATAAACTTAAACTCACCTCAACAACCCGGGCTTAGTCTAGATTTGAGGGTGATGAACCCTTCGTTGCTTTTCCTAAACCCTAAAGAAACCCTAAGCCCTAAACCCTAAACCCCAAGCTTAAGAACCCGAGGCCGCCCAGCTCCTCCACAACTTCTCGGAAGCCGTGGGGGCTCGAACTTTCGGCCTGCGCTGTGTGCCTTTGGACACCCAGGATGCAAGATGAGGATTGCTGTACCCATAGTCCCCTAAGTAGTTCCTTTTTGGGATTACCTTATAGGATTCTAAACATGAACCACAAAAAGGAACTACTTAGGGGCCTATGGGTATGTATGGGTGAGGCTTTGTGTGCTAAGGGTTTGATTTTGAGGGGTTTTTGGAGTGTCTAGGAGGTTTAGGGCTTATGGACCTATAGATGATTTTGGGCATTAAGGTTCTTTTCGGGGTTTTTGGAGTGTTTAGGAGGTCTAGGAGGTTTAGGACTTATAGACCCTAAAACACAACCCTAAACCCTCTCTAGTTAGGCCTTGTAGATGTGTTTGTAGGCTTAAGCTTCGGCTGCAGGGTTTAAATTTGGGCCCAAGGATGGGGTTTCCGCTTTTTTGTTTTACGAGGGCTGCAGGGCTAGGCTTCAGGGTGCAGAGCTTCGGGTTTACCCCTAGGCTCCTAAGTAGTTCCTTTCTATGGTTTATGTTTAGAATCCTATAAGGTAATCCCAAAAAGGAACTTCTTAGGGGCCTATGAGTACGGATAGTTTGGCGTTTAGAATAGTCGCTGTTCGGTGTTTGCAAAAAGCCGCCATGATTTCATCACCAACATTCATCATAACAAAAAACATAGTAGAAACCGTAGTAACCGTAATAGTGACCGTAGCATGCCGAATGCAAGAAACCTTATCGTCTCGATAGCAAGTCGACTAGAGCCCTGGCAGGAGGCAGTAATGATCACGGGAACTAAACCGAACTGCAGTGGTGTAGATTTTCATTGCTGTGTTCATCACCAGGAAAGACCGCAACGCTGTTGACGTATGACTGAACAGTGACCTCAGCGAACAGGAATCTAAACTCCAACTGACTAGCAAACCTCATGTTGATGTAGCATTGAAGCATGAACACTAAATCCCAAGCCCTAATTCCAACAGTGTCTAAGGGTTTGGTGTTTTATAGATCCCCACTGCCCAAGTCCGGGATTGCGAAACGTCGCTTTGTTTGAGCTTCTAGACTTTTCCTTGCCCGGCAGTCTGCACAATCTTAGGCTTTCGGAGGATGGTCGACAGATTCAGGGCTTAGGGCTCCTCCTCCTCGCCATCATTGTCATCATATAAGTTGTTGTGTGTTCCTGCGCCTGTGACTCGTACGTTCAAAACCCCCTTAAACCCTAAACCCTGAAAAAATGCACACCTCAGGACGGAGACTTGCATCGCTGCCTGCCCTCTGAGCTGCTCGGCGACCCGCGAGTATCCGGGGCGCGACTGCCGGGACGAGGTGCGGGGAGGCGCCCCGGGAGCTGGCGGTTTCAGGGTTTATGGTTCCAGTATTTCGGATGGTTGGTGCAGAAGTTCTGGGTTCAGGGCCGTGTCCGGATTTCAGAACATCATGACCATGGCGATCCCTCAAACGGCCCTGTTTTAGCCTTACTCCCAATTTTCGGGCCGCCGCCCCCAAACCCCCAAACACCGGGACCCTCGAAGGGTCTTCACCCGCTCCACCGTTGCATCTCTGAACTCTCCTTCCCCCAACCTCGGCCCTACACCCAAAAAAAGCTGTTCGTGACTTTCGGAAGTCCCCAGAATTTAGTACGGACCCTTGCTTAGTAGGATCGTGACTGTATATATAAGGATCCCTAATCAAGGTAACTTTTTTGGTATTTCGTTATAGATTGTCGGTAGAAGCCTTTCACCTCAGACCCCGTATCGTCAGAAAATCTCAAACCGTTCCCTCAAATCCTGTAAGCTCTCGTTAAATCTTTGACCTAGAGCCCTTCAGTCATTACGAGTGCTTGAATGAGAGATAGCTTTTCTATTGCAGAACTCCATATATCCCGCAAGCCCATACCCCAAACCCTACCCCAAAACCCAAACACCCAAAACTAAGTTCCCAAACCCTAAACCCTAAACCCTCAACCTTAAGTCCCCAAGCCCTAAACCCTAAGCCCCCAAACCCGAAACACTAAGCCTCCAAACCCTAAACCCTCAACCTTAAGTCCCCAAACCCTAAACCCTAAGCCCCCAAACCCGAAACACTAAGCCCCCAAACCCTAAACCCTACTGAAACCCTAAACCCTCAACCTTAAGTCCCCAAACCCTAAACCCTAAGCCCCCAAACCCGAAACACTAAGCCCCCAAACCCTAAACCCTAAACCCCGAAAACCCAAACACCCAACACCCCACACCCTAAGCCCCCAAACCCTAAAACCTAAGTCCCCAAACCCTAAACCCTAAACCCTCAACCTTAAGTCCCCAAACCCTAAACCCTAAACCTCAGCCCCAAAACCCTACACCCCAAGTCCCCAAACCGACCGAAGCAAGGAGTGGCCCGGCCCTGGCCGGGGCGGCTCTACACCGGGCAACTAGCCCTCAGAGCCCAGTTGCTTACACCTCTATGCTACCCATAGGCTCCTTACGGTTGATGATATAAATCCTGCATCACCCTTAATGAGGAATATACAATAATTCCCATAGCTTAGGGTCCTTAAGGTAATGCAGGATTTCTACCATCAACAGTAGTAGTTCCTTTTTTGTGGTCCAGATTTGGGATCCCATAAGGTAATCCCAAAAGGAACTACTGCGGAGCTAATGGCTAGGGTTATACATGTACAGAAATACACATTTTTTAGATACGTAGAGATATACATACACCCACGGGCACACACAGAGAGAGAGAGAGAGAGATATATATATATTATAATTGTATGTATACATGTATATATATATATGTGTGTGTGTGTACACACACATGTATCCAGAAGACTACATACATGTCATATACGTATATATTGATATACATAGAGAGAGTTGTATTCATAGACAGTGCTTTAGGGTTCTCCGGGGCTTGACGGGCTTTTCTAATTTCTAGGTCTCAATGCCAATGTGGTAGGTAATACAGCCAAAAACAGCATGCAGGTAACTAGGCTTCTTCGCTCTTCTGACTTACGGGGGCTCAAGGTTTAGTTTATTGGCATGGTTTAGGCTTTGGGAGATTTGTAAAGGTTTTCGGATTTGTGGTTTGGGGCTGAAGGCTTGAGGTGCAAGATATTAAGGTAGAGTTTCAGTTTCATTACGTTTAGGGGAGTGTTCCGTATCGCTTAGTTTTGATGACGTTTTCGTTTTGTTCTTGCAAGATGCGCAGGCCGCTTTTCTCAGGACGCTGGGCTGAAAACATCTCGGTTTGGGGCAGACGTTGCCCAACTCGACAGCTTCCGAAGATGTAGGTTTTGGACTGGGGCCAGATAGGGGTCTTCGCACGGCATTGTTCAGTGGTGATGGGCCACAATAATAGGCCCGTAACGGACGAGGTTTAGCTGGGATTAAAAATCATGTGCCTGGTCTTCCTAAACCTTAAACCCCAAATCCCTACAGGCCCTAAACCCTAAGCCGTATCAAAGGTGGCGGACGTGCGCGCACAAGCTCGCAGCTGTTTGCTTGCTTCAGTTTTCCAAAAGCATCAGCTGGCGAGCAAACTTCTACGAACTGAAGCCAGGTTTGGGTCTAGGGGTTCAGGGTTTTGAAATCTGGCTTCAAAAAGCATGGTTAGGGTTCAGTGCTTAGTGTTTAGGGCAGGGGCATCATGGAGGGCTCTGAACCCCAAATCCTGAATCGATGAAGTGGTTAAGGGCTAGCCTCCTGGATACCTGTCAGTGGTACTCGACTCGTAAACCGTAGGAAGCTGCCTTCTTCAAGTCCCATGATACAAGTCCGGCCATCCCAAAAAGCTTGCATTACGAAGGGAGAGCTTCTATACCCTACACCACAGATCCGAACTCAAATGCCGTAGGCTTGGACCCTACATGCTCGACCGAGTGAGTGATAAGAAGAATGGAAGGTTGAATTACAGAACAGATCTTGCCGATCTCTCAGCTGTAAGACGGTTTAGGGTTTAGGGCTCTGCAGCACAGAGCGGCGCATGCTTTTCCATCTGCTGCTGCCAAGTGTGCTATTCTTTCTGGGCTGTGATGGTATTCCTGCGCACGACTTTATGGAATACCAGAAGGACCCAATTAGGAGCAGGCCCCTTGCACTGATCCAGACACGCTCTGATCTTCGAAGTGCTTCGCAAAAACAGGGGCCTAAATAATTACCAATACTATTTTGGGGTTCCTGGTTATAACTATAGTATAATATTCCCCACGAACCTTTTCTAACTATTTAAGGCCCCTGCATTTTGTTGGTTAACACGGTTGTGCTTGTTTGATCGTTGGTTTGTCCGAGAAAGCAAGGACTTATCTCATACCTGGGACGGAAGAGATTCGACGAGAGATCGAACGCGTGGAGGAGAGCAACAAAGACAAGGTTGTATTGTATCTGTGATGGCTAAGTCAGTAACCTTTAACCCATTTTTTGGTCTCTTGACTTGCGCACTCATACCAGCCCTACATCCTGCAAGCTCTACTTCATAGTAAGTTCCTCACTGGGCGCAGGGAGCTCAGCAACTTTGCAGAGAAGCCTGAATACCCCACGATCCTGTTCTAACGATAAACGTTCTGCAATCACAACCCTTGTAGTAATCCTGAAAGATGCAGTAAAGGAGCCCTACTGTGTTGCTGTTAGGGAACATTAAGTGTTATGCTAAGTTCCGATTATCTACTGTGCGTCCCCATATATGGTAACTTCAATGAAGTTATGTTCCTTTTGAGCAACCAAGCCTAGGTACCAAACTCGCTCCCTCTTGAGCTACTTCATGGCCTGGCTGGCTCACGGGGTTATGGCGAGGAGGGATGTGAATAGGCCTGGAGGCTCGGATGCCTTCTAGAGGGTTTAGGGGTTCAGGGGTGTAGGGTCTAGGTTGTAGGGGATCCTGTGTTTTGTTAAGTTCTAGAAGGGTTGTATGGGGTGTTATAGGGTTCCTTCAAGGGGTCCTCAAATAAAGATACCTTTCTTTGGGGTTTCCTTGTAAATGAGTATCTTTTTGGGGGGGTACATTTCGGCCAATTAGGGTGCCTTTTTTCTGTTATTTAGATTTTGAAAGCAAGAGATGCAGAACATGGGTCAGGTCTTGGTTCTGGGAGTAGGGGTTTTAGGTGTGCTTTGAATGTCAGACACGGGCCGAAAAGGAGATGCCACGACCAACCCCATCAGTACCGTGGCGCTGGGGCTTGGCTTCTTTGAAGAAGAGCACGAGTTCCCCTCCTTTCTCCAGAAAGACTCCGTGTGTGAGGGCGTGTCCCTTGGGAAGAAAGTCCGGGACGCAGATTTGACGAATGCCATCCTGGGCGAAGGAGAGCTCGATGTGGGTTTCGATCCTACTGGCAAGAAGGTTTGGAAGGTGAACTATTGGAGCGGAAAAAAAACCTATGACAGCTGCCATGACCTGGTCTATGCAGAAGCTGCAGACATGATCAGAGAGGTCGTGCCCAAGCTGGAAGACGACAAGCTCCGATACTTGGTAGCAAAGTAGGTAGCCTTTTCCCTTTCTGGGCGTACTACCATCATCCCTCTACAATCCCTTTACGTCACCTAGGATACTGGACAAGTAATTAGGGTTTTACCAAGAAGAACCCAAACAGGGGTGCTGTAGACTGGCTGTAATATTATATAACAACTGTACATGACTGTTGAAAAGGAACCCCAAAAGGGCTGCCCTAAACCCGCGAGGCCCTAGATGCTAAACCCTAAGCCCAAGTAAGGACAGCAGAACCTCACAACCCTAAACCCTAAACCCTAAACCCTAACCCTAAACCCTAAGCCCAAGTAAGGACAGCAGAACCTCACAACTGCGGCAGAGTTTGCAAACTATCTCGACGCAGAGCTGGGGAGTTGGAGAGATGCCAGCTTCCCAGAAGCTTGGGCAACACTCGGGTTTAGGGGTTTAGGGATGCTGGCAGTCATCAAGTCCGGTTTCAAAAAGGGTTTAGGGCTTAGGGTTTAGGGTTTAGGGTTTAGGGTATCCCCTTTTTTATGGAAAACTTCAAAAAGGGACTCCTTTTTACGGGGTGGTCGGGAAGATGCTTGGAGCTCAGTGCCGGTTGTC